AAAGGACCTTTAAAGGTTCTTTCCCCGTCCTCTCTCTCTCTCTCTCTCGGGGAAGGTGAGCTGATATTACTATATCTGGGGAAATCCAACCCGGTAACACGAACCCTCAATACGGTGAGCACTTTTGTTGGTTGTTGTGTGGCTCTTCAGAACGGAGATCAAATTGAGTCGTCGAACGTATTTTCTGCGGTTTTTTCCCCCGGCGTAACCGTCTGCGGGCTCAGAATTCTGTCGGACCCTTTCTAATACATCTTCTCCTCCCTTCCCACATCCACGTGCTTTCTCTCCCACGCTCTTCTTCGTAAAACCCCAAGGTCGTGAAAATCTGGAACTACTTTGAAGCAAAGTGCGTTTGCCAAAGTCCCGACACAACTTATGGGAAAAATACAGCCCCTGAGCATAAGAGCATTACAATACTGTCACTCACTTTTCTCAGTGGGTGAACGAAGGCCCCGTTGACTTTCAGTCAGTCACTCACTCTCCTCGGCCACTGAAAAGTACAACCCGTTTGAATTCGGGCAAAAAAAAGGATTTTCAAGTAATCACGAGAGCTTGGAGGTGGGAAAGTATTTCATTTCCATCCTCTCCGCTGCATTGAAAAGCCCCCGATTTCCAGAGTTTATCCCCTCCCAAACCGTCTAGAATCTGTGTCTATGTGTGTGCATTTAATAATAATTGCAATCCTTGTATTTGATAGAGTGCCCGGAGACGTCTCAAAGCGCTTCGCAGGATATACTGTGGGGTGGAGCGACTGGGTATTTTGTGGGCGAAACGCGGCGGAAGCCAAGTGTCCCACAAACAGTCGTGGATTGAGTGACCACGTTTCAATTTTACTTCTTCAGGGATTATTCCACCCGGAAAGCGATCCGTCAATTGACTAACGACTGCATTCCTACTTAAGCTGCTGGGTAAGCAGAGGCTTTACCCGAGGTTTTGCCCTGACCTGCCCGGGAATCAAACCCGATTTACCAGCCAGTGTGTGAGTCAACGTATACCTATTTGCAATGGGTAACTCCAACAATTTCCTTCTTGCTACCCCACATGAAGGGCGTAACGTGAACGCAAGTTGCTGTTGGGTGGTGGAATTTCCTGTGATAATCAGGCGAATATTCCACCAGAATTCCCCTCCCCTCACGCCCACCCACCGACCTGGAATATTCCACTCCCGACAACCACTGTCTATAATTCGATCGCAAACTCACACGAGTGAGAGAGAGAGGAGAAGTTTGGAGAAGGAGCCCGTATTCTCCGTATATCCGCGACGTATTGTTCTGGGTTGACGCTCTCAACCTCAGTTAGTGTCTTGCAGACCTTCGGTAAGATCCTGGTGTCCTGGCCAACAATCCCCCAAATAAAACTGGTCACTCCGGAGCGGTTCGTGGGCAGGGCCGAGTTTCCTTACTCCACACTCCTCTGTTTCCCTAGCAGTAAGCAGGAACCCGTCGGTTAGTGGATTGGTGGATCGCTTTCCCGAGGATAATCACCCCTTCCCCAAAAAAAAAATGCGCTCACTCAATCTACGAGGGGGTTGCAGCCGTGCGCAATCGGCTGCCGCCTTTCGCCCGCAAAGCATACGGTCTTCCCGGTACGTTCCGCGAAGCGCTTTGAGACGTCTGGACGACGCGATAAGGCGCTACATCAAAATGCCAGGATCGTTATCGTCATTGCGATGATGACGAAAGCGGGTTCTGTTAGAGCGGAGTTTGTCACGCGAACAGTTAAACCCTCGTGACCCTGGTGACTCGTGTGCTTTGCATAACTAATTTGTCTTTTTCTTTGTGGGTGGGTGTGTGTGTGTGTGTGTGTGTGTGTGTGTTGTGCGTGAATCTTCACTTAGCTGATGTTCCCACTTCAAGCCGAGTCCTGTCCCTTAACGCCATCGGCGTGTGCTCAAAACTCACAGGTTTAATATCCGGCTCATCATGTCCTCGGCAGAAAACCCGAATTGCGGTCACACAGACTCCCTGCGCGGTCGGGCTAATCGCTTCGCATTAAATCGGCCCGAATTCTTGAGAAGCGCTGTGCTCAAAGTGCTCTCGTCCTCGGAGGCAGAAGCCCCATTACTCAGCCCTTCGTATGCAGCTCACGCGCGATTGATTTGGAACATATGAGAACAAGCGAATGGTTCCTGGAACTCTAAACAGACACCTCATCGCATCGTGATTAGTTGATAAATCCTAACTCTGCGCCGCTCCCCCCCGCACCCCCCCACCACCACCCCCCCCCTCCCCGCCGCCCTCCAAGGCAATGAAGAAGCACATCCTTGTAATCCCGTCTCAATGACCTGCTTCGGGCAATAGAAAGTATTGAAATATCTCCCCCTAATTTTTCAAGCGGTTAACCGACTGCTGCGACTCGTTTCTCCTTCTCTCAGGAGCACTTGAGAAAGATTCACACCGAAGCTCACAAAACTTTATTTCGCGGCTCGGAACTTTGCCGGAGCAATTAGCGTCACCACCTCTGTTTAGTTGGTCTCGGTCTCCGTCTCATCCGTGCAGGAGAGAGCCAGAGATCAGTCCGGTTTTACGTTGAACGAAGACCCGGTTTCGATTCCCGGGCGGCGCGAAACCTCAGTCGTTAAATTTCCTTATTGAACACGCCAAGTAAGAACCCGGCTGTGAGTTGATCGGCGGATCGCTTTTCCTGGGCTGATAATCCCTTCGAATTTAAAAAAAGGAATAATGTACAATAATAATAATAATAATCCTGGCATTTGCCATCGGGCTTTTCACGTCTCAAAGCGCTTCACGTAAATAGACTGTACAGTGTATTTTTTGACTGCATATTTATGAGCGAAAATGTAAATCCAGTCACTCAATCTATGACGGTTTGCGGGACACAGTATATATTCTGTGAAGCGGCTTTTGAGGGGCCTCGAAGACTTGATAGGGCACTGCATCACAACACAAGGATTATTATTAATATTATTATTATTGTGACAATAAGGTTATAACGAAGCCCAAAGAGACGGAGTGCCTTGTTGAGATATGCTATATTTTGGACCAGATACCCCATCTGTTCCTGTTCAAAACAAACACCTGGGGGTCCTTTAACGTCCTCCTAACCGGGCCGCCTCCAGCAGTGAGCCCAACGCACGCTCTGGTGTGCTCTCGCCGGCCGTCCCTGCGCTCTCATACTTTCCTGAACTAGGAAAGCGAGGAGGATTCCTCCCTCTGGCGAGAGAGAGGGGCCCCGCGCGCCCCATTCCATCGATCCACGTCTGGAATTTCCGTGGGCAGGTGGTGAGGGGGGGATGGGGGAGGGTGCCTGAAATTCCCGGCGGGGTTTCGGACGCCGCCGGAGTGCCTCGACGGGTGTCCGCGCGGGTCGGGAACCCGGCTTGACCAACGGAAAGCGTCCGGATTCAATCTGCCAAGTGATGGGGAGGGAGGAAGCCAGGAAACGAAATGGTCGCTCCTCTCGGAAGAGCCGGCGGAGGCACGTTGGGACCAATGGTTTTCTGTGCTGTACGTTGCACGTCTCCCACCCCCCCCCCCAACTCCTGCCCCCCACCCCCCCGGCCCCCTCCCCCCTTCCCCCTTCCCCCCCACCAACACCACCACCCCACCCCCTTTCCATTCCAGCATAAAAAAACATCTTGAAACGTTAAGCGCAAATTATCTCTCTCTCGAGCGAAACATTTTGTTCCCTCACAAAGGAACCCCCCCCCCCTCACCCCCCCATCGAGTCTTCACTCGCAGCCGAGACAACAGCGGGACGTCTGGCCGGGGAAGTGCTCTCAGTTACTACGAGGCTTGACTTGACTCGACTCGGTTATGGACTACTGCACTCGGATTCTCGGCGTTGGACAGGTCTATGGGAACGTAGGAACAGGGGGAGGCCATTCAGGCCCTCGAGCCTGTTCCGCCATTCCGATTGGATTGCGGCTGATCTACACCGTTAATATACAGGAGGGAGGGAGTGAGCGATGGAGGGAGGGAGCGAGGGAGGGAGGGAGTGCAAAATAAAAATGAGTGTGTGTGTGTGTGAGTGAGTGAGTGAGTGAGTGAGTAAGTGAGTGAGCGAACGAGTGAGTGAGTGAGTGAGTGAGTGAGTGAGTGAATGAGCGAGCGGCAAATAAAGAAGTGAGTAAGGGAATGTGTGAATGGCAAATAAAGAAATGCACGAGTGAGTGAGTGTGTGAGGGAATGAGTGAGTGAGGAAATGTGAGTGTGTGAGTGAATGTGAGCGAGTGAGGGAATGTGAGTGATTGAGGGAATGAGTGAGTGTGTGAGTGAATGCGAGTGTGTGAGTGAATGAGTGAGTGTGTGTGAATGAATGAGTGTGTGAGTGAATGTGAGTGTGTGAGTGAATGAGTGAGTGTGTGAGTGAATGAGTGAGTGTGTGAGTGAATGCGAGTGTGTGAGTGAATGAGTGAGTGTGTGAGTGAATGAGTGAGTGTGTGAGTGAATGCGAGTGTGTGAGTGAATGAGTGAGTGTGTGAGTGAATGAGTGAGTGTGTGAGTGAATGCGAGTGTGTGAGTGAATGAGTGAGTGAATGAGTGAGTGTGTGAGTGAATGTGAGTGTGTGAGTGAATGAGTGAGTGTGTGAGTGAATGAGTGAGTGTGTGAGTGAATGCGAGTGTGTGAGTGAATGTGAGTGAATGAGTGAGTGTGTGAGTGAATGAGTGAATGCGAGTGTGTGAGTGAATGAGTGAATGCGAGTGTGTGAGTGAATGAGTGAATGCGAGTGTGTGAGTGAATGAGTGAGTGAATGTGAGTGGCTGAGGGTTGGTGGTGGAGTGGGCGTGGCCGTGGTGGGTGGAGTGGGCGTGGCTGAGGGGGTGGGTGGGTGGAGTGGGCGTGGCCGTGGTGGGTGGAGTGGGCGTGGCTGAGGAGGGGAGAGTGGGTGGGAGGAGGGAGGGGGCGGAGTGGGCGCGGGGGGGGGGGGCGGGCGGGGGAGGGGAGGGGAGTGTGGGGGGAGCGAGAAGGAGAGTGCGTGCGCAGCCGCTCGGCTCGTGCGGTGGCGGTTGGTCTCGCGGGCGGGCGGGCGGGCGGGCGAGCGCATGCGCGGTGAGAGCGGCCCCCCGACAGACAAGAGTCCCACAACAAGAGAGGGGAAGAGAGAGAGAGAGAGAGAGCGAGAGAGACGCAGAGAGCGCGCGCGGGGCCCGGCGGCCGCTCAGCCACGACAGGACAGGACAGGACAGGACGGGGGGACTGGACGCCAACAGCTCTGAGGTAAAAAAAAATAGAAAGACCCCCCCCCACACACACACACCACCCCCCCCATCACCACCCGAAGTCGTCGTAACAAGGGAGGAGGGGGCGCACACACACAGAGAGAGAAATCAATCAATCAATCAATAACACATTCAATTAAAGTCGTGAGGGGGGGGGAAAGGTGAAGAAAAAAAATACCTTCGTGAGGGAAAGTTTTTAAACCCTATCTATATATATATTATTTCTATTTTTATGTCTATTTGTGTTATTTGTGGGCGGGGGTGGGGTGGGGTGAGGTGGGGTGGGGGTGGGGGGGGAAGACGAGCCCCCCCCCCTCTCAATTGGCGCCTCGCGCGTGTGTTTTCCCTGTGTTTTTCTCCCCCCCCCCCAAAAAAAAAATCATCTGTATGATTTCGATTTAAATCCTCGACAATAATAATATAATATTATAATAATAATAATAAGGTTATAAACTTTTTCGGTGTGTGGTTTTTTTTTTGGGGGGGGAGGGGGGATTTTTAAACCCATTACCCGTACACACACATATATATTTACTTATATATATATATCTATATGTATATATAAATAGACAGACTAAACGTTTTTGTTTAGAACATAGTTTTATATGTGTATATCTATATCTGTATATAGTTACACACACACACACACACACACAGACTGATGGACTTGGATGTGAAGCGTTTTATTTCTGTGTGAAAACTTAAGTTTGTTTCGGCTTCTGGTGATCAGCGTGAATGTGTTTTTTTGGGGGAAAAGAGCAAATTAAATTCTTTTTTTGCCCTCCAATAACACACCCACCACTCCTTCTTTCCTTCCTTCACCCACTACTCTTTCTTCCCTCCCTCTCTCCTCCTCCCCCCCCCCCTCTCTCTCTCTCTCTCTCTTTATTTTATTATTGATGTACGGTATTACTTTTACTTACTTACTTACTTATTTATTTATTTATGAGTTATTTTTTTAAAAAAAGGAAACTTACGATTCTATTGGTTTCAGTTGCCTTTTCGTGGGGTTTAATCAATAAGTTTCCCATTTTTTTGTTGGGAGTGGGGGGGGATGATTTTATGTCTGATATATATATATATGTGTGTGTGTGTGCGTTTATTAATTAGTTGATGATTATGTTATTTGACGGCGACTTGGTTTCATTTTTCGCTTGAGGGGAGGGGAGGGGAGTGGTGGTGCTGTGTGTGTGTGTGTGTGGGGGGGGGGGGGGGAGTAGTTTGTTTTGGTTCCGTATTGCAGCGTAAACTTTTCCCTGCCTTTGGCGTCGAGAGTAAGACGTTCTACGGTTAATTTTTTTTTAATACATCTACATGTTTATGCACATTGTATGCTTCGTAGTATGAGAAGGGAGGAGGGGGGGGGGGGGGGGGGTTAGGGAGAAACGCTTAGGCCCGATTTGAAGCCTCGGTCTTTCCTGAACAGACGCCGGGCGGGGGGAAAGGTCCAGCTGCTGTCGGGTCGAGAGGAGCGAGAGGACTGGATTTGGAACCAATTTTCTCTCTCTCTCTCTCTGTCGCAGCCTTCAAAACCCCACGCGCCGCTTTGCGAGTGAACCGCAGAAAGTGATGGCCTGAAATGGCTCGTTAGTCGCGGATCGACTGAGCTCCTCGTGTACTTCCCACTCACTCACTCACTCACCCCCTCCCTCCCTCCCTCACTCACTCACTCCCTCCCTCCCTCCAGCCCTTCAGCGACTCGCGGTCGCCAGAGGGAAGTTTATCCCAGTGCTTCCACGCAGAGCTTTGCACAGCCCCGATTCTCACCCTTAGACGCTTCACCGAATCGTTATCATTATCATCGCATTTGATATAACACTTAATTCCTGTGGGTTAAGCAGTTAAGTGTTTGTTTGGGAGAGAAACCAGTTTTCTTGATGTAAACGATTAAGTGTCCCGAGGCTGCCGCAGGGATTATGAGAGAGAGAGAGAGAGAAAGAAACTCTGTGGGTGTGTGGCTTGAATCTGAAGTACTTTCCTCTTAAACGTGTCCCGCTTGGCTGTTCAGTTGTGTAAATAACTTGCTTAAGGACGACCAATGTTTTTAAAGGCCACCCGGGCTTTCCCACGTTGTTTGGTAATGTCAGCCAGGAAAATGCTTCACGTCGCCTAACCCTTGCTGTCACTGTCTTCGGGGAAATAAATACCTGTTGCTAGGACCATTTTCACAGTTTTATTCACAATCGCACATTGTGTGCTTTGTGTGCCTTGGTCTTTTATTGTTCACCGAATCAGTACATATCCGTTCTGTTAATATGAATTTGCTAAGGCAGGATCTTCTTAATAAAAAGTTGTGTGGGGACTCCAGCTATCTTATCAGACATCAGTGTAATTGTTAAGACTCAGACTGAAGCTGTGCTTTTTTTGCTAACTGCAGCGTGTGTGTGTGTGTGTGTGGTGAATTGGCAAATGAAATTGGCTTGGAGTAAAACTAGTTCAGGAGTCCAACCCCCTAAAATTTAATACCACATAATTAAGTTTTTTTTTTAAACGTTGATATTCTCAGACCAAATTGTGTGTCTGAATGTGAAAAAAAATAGCATCTTATGAAAAATTATCTTAAACCATCAATAGTAATTACTGTTTAAGTATACCGATTGTTTTTGTCGGGAAATACGACAGCTAAAGGGACCTCCAGGTTAATATCTCATCTGAAAGAGCACCTTTGACAATGGAGTGCTCGCTCAGCACTGCAGTGGAGTGTCAGCTTTGTCTGTGAGTTTTGAAACCTAACTTGGTGATTGAACGTGAACAAGACTGAGGCCCTCCCGATTGGCTCGCGCCAGCGCCTCTGGCTCTGGTGGTATCAACTTCCACAGTTGCACACTTCAACTCACCAAACCAGTCAGGAAACCAAGGTGTCTTGTTCGACTAACTGTCTTTTCTTCCCCACATCCAAACCATGACCCGCTCTGCCTTCCCTCACCTTCGTAATATTGCCCGACTCCGCCACTACCTCAGGCAGCTGAAACTCTTGTTCATGCCTTCATCACCTCCAGGCTCGACTATGCAAACGCCCTGCTTGTCGGCCTTCCCAACTCCTCCCTCCACAGGCTGCAGATAATTCAGAACTCTGCAGCCCATGTCCTCTCCCGCACCAAACTCCGTGACTCCATCTCCCCCATTCTCGCCCGACTCTATTGGCTCCCTATCCTTCAGAGGATCCAGTTCAAACTGCATTTAATACTTAATACTACAAGGAATATTAAGTGCTGATGCTGCCTTATGACTAAGTGGGGTAACTTGGGCTTTAATAGTATTTTAAAGCTAAATAATCCATAAATTACTTTAAGCAAGTTAAATGATTAACACTTTAAACATGTCTTAATATTTAAAAAATGCAAATTCTAATTTTGAGGATATTACTATTTCAATAATGTTTTTTCTTTGGGGGTGGGAAAAAAGCAATTTGCCAGTTTGGCTATTGTATTGTAACTGTAGTTTAACAGTATTTGTTTGCAGCAAATTTAGTGGTATATAAGAAAGAAAGAAACTTAATGCAGAATACAAATCCATGGGCCTAAATTTACATGCAGTGGTCAGTTAGATTCAAACAGAGTAAAGCTTGTATAATGACTTTTTTAAAAATGTCTTTCGTATTCTTCATATAGAACAAAAATCCTGCATCAAATAACTGATTCTAATGAACCTTTCTTCTTCAAATATCATATTTCGCAATCCAGACCCTATAATTTTATCACAGCATTCCTTTGGGGCAACAAACAAAGCAGAACTTTATATTAAATCTGCAAAGTATACTAGGAACTGTTTTGGGTTTCAATTTCAACTTTAATGTATTGATGCTTTTGCCTTTCTGAACCTCTTTCATGTCATTGTTACCAATATAATAGGTTTTTAAAAATCAAAACTGGAATGGATTAATTAGCATTTAGACGTTTAAGGCAGAATAGAGAGAGATTAATACAGAATAGAATGCTTGATTTCTTGTGGGGAACTCCAAATTGATTACTAATACCCAGTTTGCATCGATTTTCATAAAGTGGAATAACTACAGTATCCGGTATGCAATTACTTTCTTCCTGCAGAACCCCACAAATTGCTGTAAAATAAGTCATCAACTAATCTGAATGTGGGTCAGGGATATTGGGTTGCACAATTAGAGAAAACACTCCACTTGTTCCTGAAAAAATAAGATCAGATTTGTATAGTGTCTTTCACGTCAGGAGGATGTCCCAAGGTGCTGAAATAGCATAGGAAGATGATCTGAAATAAAATAATTGCAAAGGTTTATCATATCAGAATATCTTAAAGTACTGAACAAAGAATAAGGTTGAACTGTAGTGAATGTTATGGTATTAAGCCATTGCTCAAGTAATATCCTTCAAATAAATATGAGATGCAGAAAGTGTAACCCTATGAGTATAACAGCAAGATCAAATCTGCAGCGTCTCAATATGGAGGTCAATAATCACCCGCAGAACTCAACATAATAGTTTAATTGTTGTGTAAACTTAATTATGTAGATGTACAACAACAACAACAACAACAAGATTCCATTTATAAAGCGCCTTTCACGTCAGGAGGACGTCCCAAGGCGCTGCACAGTTGGGTCATGACCCGGGCAGGGGGGAAATGGTCAGGGTGAGGGCAGGAAGGGAGGGAGCGAGGAGGGGGAAATGGTCAGGGTGAGGGAAGGGAGGGAGCAAGGAGGGGGAAATGGTCAGGGTGAGGGGAGGGAAGGGAGGGAGCGAGGAGGGGGAAGAGAGTCGAGAGGGGAGCTGAAGGCACGGTAAAGAAAGGCATGTAAAGAAAAAAAGGAGTAAGGTGAGTTGGGACTTGGACAAGAAGTATTTCTATTCATTAGCACAATCAATCTCATTAAATATGGTGCAAAATCAGTGCCAAAATGAAGTCAGCGTATTAATTGCCTTTTACTTGATACCTGTACATTTCTGCTTCATTTAGTCAAAATTGCTTTGTCATCTATGAATCATTTAGGTTGGGTTATTCAATTGTCTGGATTAGGATGTGTTTTAA